ATCCTGCTCCTCACATGCAAGGTCTTAAATAATCAGGCCCCATCTTATCTTAATGACCTTGTAGTACCATATCACCCTATTAGAGCACTTTGCTCTCGCACTGCAGGATGAGCAGCAGGATCCTGCAGATCATCTTCTCCCTGTGAGAGGAGACAGAGGTGAGGAGTCATCAGCACATGAGGTCAAAGGTCAGTCAGTACAGCTAGAAGAAGGAAAATCTACAGTCTGACTTTATTCACTCATTACATCTAATCCTCTTTATGATCTTGATTACACTAACTAAACCATCAACCATGTTTTACATTAAATTAAAACACACACAGACATTCTTTCTTAAAGCCAAACTTTTTCATCCTCTTGTTTAGACAGAGGTCATAGATCAAGTTGTTAAAATCCAACAGGCAGCACAGATTCAATAACTTTGTTTATTTGCTAACATCCTGAACATTTGTCCATTACAGGTGCTTAGAAGAAGCAACAACTGTACATGTGAGGAACAAGGCTAAATGTAACCCAGAATCAGGAAACTTTATACTTCACAGGAGACATGAGAGGGAGTTTGTGAACTTCGCCCTGTAGAGAAGACATCACCTATTTATTGTTGTCATTTTGTTCACCAAAGGTTACATTTTTGATTTGGAAACTCACAAAGTTCAGGCTGAAAGACAGAAGGATCCTAATCACAACTTAACAAAAATACAATTCAGACTCTGTCTTGCATTAATCCTTGAGTCGACTCCAGCTAGTGCATGATTTCCGCACACAGAATTTATCCAAGCAGAGTTTCTGAGCAACGAACCAGGACATGAAAACTCTAACTGTGATAAATAAATGTCTCACGTCTTTGTGTTTCTGCTGCGTCTCTGCCAGCTGTGGACGAACGTGTGAGGATGAAGTTTCCTGCTGTGTGCATTACAGTCAGATACGAACCTGAAGAAAACAAACAACAACAAACAAACAACAATGTGTTGATTTATTTTGATTTCATCAGGCCTTGCAGGTAACAAAGCTGAGCAGTAGGCCACTAGAGGGCGCTACTCAACTAAAAAGAAATCAGCTACAATTAAAAGGCCTTGAAGGGAAATCAGGGTGATGTGATTAATGAGTTAACGTGTCTTTAAAAGATTTCCCAAAATGCTCAATGGACTTTTTAGGAGAGATTCAGCTGTCTTTGTTATATTCTGGATGATTAATAAAATCATTTGTTGAATGTCCATTAGACTTGCCCTACAGCCAGCAGTGGGACATAGCAGCTGCTTAATTTAGTCAGAACCTTCCACGATGTTTATCAAACAGGAAAGATTTAAATTCTCACATCCAACAAACTGTATCATGATTT